CCATGCTGGTTGTGTGTGTGTTGGTTCTTGCTAAATCGAAGCCAGGTGCGCCAGGGAGACATGAGAGTTTGATCATCACGTAATGATGGCCGGGGCCAGCAGTACATGGTTGCTCGTGTTTTTGCAGTGGGCTTTCTGTCGTATTTTTTTTATACACGCAAGTTTTTTTCTATCACCAACATCGAGGGAAGGCAGGCAACGAGGACTGAGAGTTAGCGTCGTCCACTATATATCCACAATCTCGATCCATTTCGTACTCTGTTGGCCCCGCAAAGCGCGGACGCCACACTCACAACGTGAAGTCGAAGAGTGCCTCAATAGTGCAGAACCTGCACTATTGAGGAATATTCAAAGCCCCAATAGTGCAGAACCTGCACTATCGAGGGCACCCTTTTCAGTAGTGCAGGTGCCTGCTATAGTGCAGGTAAATTCTCACGACAGACCCCTGCACTATATAGGGCCCACTACTGTACTTGTTTAGCCAGATCTTACCAAACCTTCAGACAGCCGACCGCAGGCTACAGCAGTAGACAAGGAATAGACTACTGGTGTTTGTTTATGTATGGTGGGTTCAGCAGTGATTATATCGAATTTGGACAACGTGGCAATACAATGGCGGGTGCTTGACGTAGCAGCCAATCCCAGGAAGCAACAGTTGCCATGATATGCACAAGAAGGCATTTAATACTGGGGCAACGTGAGGTAATCCTGGAAAGCGACGGATGGCAAGCTCTCGCGCAGTCGGTGCAATTTTCATCCTACTTGAACTCGCACACCTGAATGTTGAAGCTCTCTTCCACCTTGGTGAAGGGGCAAATCAACGCATGCGAGACGATTACCGCAAGTAGAACCATCTCAGCAACCTTCCTCCAGAGTCGTGCACGCATGCTCAGTCCGTGGGCTGGCCTGCTTGCCGTGCTCTGTGCCGGCTCCCAAAAGTGACGAGTGGTCGCGCCGGAAAGTACGTCCACGTCCTCCCTCCAACGGTTTCTCGATCGGACAAGCCAGAGGCATGGAAGTATGCCCGAAACTAGCTGCAGCTGCAACCAACAACTGCTGCCAAGGGGGCTTGAATCCACACGACGCTGGGCGTATGCATAAGCGGCGCGGGACGTTGCCTGTTGCGGGACTTAGGGGAGGCCGGGGAGAGCCGGGGCGAGACAAGATGGGGGGTGCGCGAATGGGGATGAACCGCTGTGTTGGTACGTGCGCTCCGCTTTCGAAACGTTCGGGATGCCAGACGGTTCTCTCTCTTGTCTGCCCTCCCTTGCATGAGACGATGTCACGTATAACCGTACACATTGTCTTTTCTCGGATTGTGCGCCTCATTGCAGCAGTCACCGCCAGCTACAAGGTATTTCGGCGGTGGGCCAGCGAGTCCCCACTGAACCGAAAGGTACGCAACATGTGACGGGGAAGACTTAAATAGGTTGGCGTAAGATATGTACTGCGGAAACTGTGTCGGACGTACAGCATTACAGCAATACTGCAAGTGAGTGACAAACGTGACACCAGTAGACTACAGATACCGTAACCCTCTGCTAGACGACAGAACGCTCTCGCACTTAAGAATCTCTAGTTTTGGGCGAATTTAGGGTCATGCTACGAATGGCCCCTATAGACTAAAGTAGCGCACAAATGGTGCTCAAGTTCTTGAGACTTTGAGTTTATTGCAGCTCTTTTTCTTAGCTGCCAAGTCCGAAAGTGAGGGTTAGTTTTGTACATCCCATTGCCCGTAATAAATGGGTGTGCATATTAAGAGTTCGAAAAGCCCTCGAATCATGCTCGGTCACCACGTACCAGCTGAGTGTATCGAATACTTTCACTAAGAGTGGACCCAAGCCGACCGACTTACTGTTCTGAAACCCGAACCTGGACTTGCGTGGTTGATTGTGTATGCAACAGCAGCTTCATGAATGTACAGTAGCGGCCCGGCAGGAGAGAAGAAGCGTGAATTTCGGGCCGAGCCTCAATTTCTCATTTCGCCACCACAGTCGAGCACAGGTTAATTAAGGTTAAAATAGGCGGCAGAGCCTGGAAAGGTTTTCAGGCGGGGTGACTACATGTTCCACAGGCCCGTGCGCGGAGACTTAGGGAAAGCAACACAAGCAAGGAAGATACGAAGTATCTGAGAAGAACGCGAGGGCTGGAAATTGTCGAGGGCACCGGCAACTGCAGGACACAGGGCCTGCGGAAATCGCCGCGTGAGAGGAGTTCACCACAGAGGACCTGTCTACCGACTGGGGGGAAGGACAGAAGAGATGTTCCGCCGTCGGCAATTTCACACAAAGTCATTTGCATTGGATTCTCTTGTAGGGGCGAAAACGCTTCGCGACACTAAAGAGGTACGCTGATCGCGAAACCATTCAGGACGGCATGGACACCATAACCCTCAGAATCCCAAATTTAAATATATCTAAATAATATGACATTTCGTCTGCACTAGTTTGCACCAATCTATGAACACGCTTGGCACGGTAGCGTCAAACGTTACCAAGCGTGATTGCCCTCCATTGTTTCATCGCAAACGAAACTGAGCGCTAGTTCGGACCAAAGTAGGTCGCCGTGCCAGCGGGCTCGGGGTGCAAGAGGCACATTTGTTTTTCTCGAAACTCGGGGACCTTTGGAATCCCGCCGAGGTTGAAGCCTACCTACAGCCATCAGGAGTCCTCCCACCAGAACGTGGCTTCGCAGCAACGATTCTTCGTTGTTTCTTCCTCTTTGTCCTGGCGAGACCGTCCCCCTTGATTACACCGCCACAACACTCTGTTCAAACGAGAGATGATTCTCTTGTTTTCGAGTTCGGGGCCAGACATTGACTGTATTGCGTCTCGGACGTAGCTGAAACGTCATTGGTTGACGACGCACACACGGAATGGTGCTGATATTTCCTCTTTTCGCCTCCATGGATGTGCAGTGCTAGCGTGGTTAGCTTTCGCTAACATTGCCCGTCGGCCAGATGCATAGTCTATACGCGGATGTTGTTCTTCCCCCACCTCTAACAACAATGGCTACGAGCGCGGAGAAGTCTCGAGACAGACACTGCCCGTCGGCGACGGCTCGACTACAGGTTGTGCCCATGGTTTCGTTCCTGCTTTCGATTCCATGACTACGATCTTGCCGACGGGTTTGTTGCCACTTTTTCTCCCATCAGGAGGAGAACGAAGAAAAGGAAGGTAGAGGTCGCGCGGTCGGGTTCCAATTCAAGGAAGTTGGAACACTCGCCAATCGAGCGAAAAACCCCGTCGGTGAGAGGTACAGGGATGTTGGTACCTACGCTGATGTCGTTGGTGTTCCTGCCCGGCATGTGAATCCTGGACACACTCCGGTGCATAGCCTTCGTGCCCGTCCGCCTGGCAATTGGGGTAGCAAGACCAACGCGAGGCACCGTAAAAATAGCTCGCGGGTTAGCAAAGATTAAAGCACTCGTGGATATGGCAATAGAAACATGGTCCGCTATGACACGCCGACAGCAGTGCCCCAAAGCATTTGGAATTGCCACAACCGTCACCTGCGGGTTAGACGACGCCGAAACATGAACTATTGTGTTTGATGTCAAATATTTGTCACGCTTTGGCCAGAAGAACGCACCCGAAATCGACCAAACCAACCAACATGAGCAAGACCATGAACAAGAACAGTAGCAGCAAAGTATCACAATCTACAGAAAATAGCGGCTTCCTCCCACTTTTGGTGCAGTGTTTCTGGACGTATCGATCGGCGGCGTACCTGCGAGGCTGACGTTCGAGCTGCGGAAGGACATCGTACCTCGTACGGCCGAGAACTTCAGATCGATATGCGCGGGCGATCGGTAAGATTGCATCGGCGAAGGACGTGGTATCGTGAGTTAAGAGGGAGACGGGTATTTCAAGTAGAGATATTCGGAGAGCGGTGTCCATGCGTAGCAAGTGACAAAGAGGGAAGGGGTGGACACAAGCGGTGCATGCGTTCAACAGTTATTATCAACGCCAACCATGCGATTGCAGACATCGAAATTCACATCAGCTAGTTGACCCCGTGCTCTCAACCTTGCGTCAAAGGGCCGACAGTCAAGACGGCACTCGGCTCAGCTATCAAGGATGCGTGTTTCACCGAGTCATCAAGGATTTCGCTGTAATAGGGGGCGACATTGCCGTGAGTGATGCGGTCGTTGACCTCAGAACACCCACAGGGACACGCAAAACGGTTGCGAAGCGTCGAAAACGAAACGATTGTGGATGCTTTGATACTTTGGGTTGGGGTGCGGCTGTAGCACTTTGCAACTCTAGTTGTTTTCGCCTTTTCCCCGAAATCTGTTGGATGTGTCCGTGTTGGTCCGACTTGCACTCAACACGGCTTTTAGACGGGTGGTGCACTACTGTAGTCGGCAATTGGACAAGCTAGAGCCACGACTGATACGCAGAAACAGTTTGGCCACTCCAAGACAAGAATGGAATCGGCAGCCGCATCGAATAGCGAAAGCTGTGGAGATCAATGACGTTTCTATCGAGCGTTGGCGCCATTGAAAGGTAGGAGTGGCCACTTTGTACAGGAACAACTCAGTGGCCGACGCATCCGAAGACGCCAAGGAGGGAAAACCGTGTACATCGCTAACAACGTAGCCAACCACAACTGCCCAAACCACGAAGCCTGTGCCAGTGCCATGTCCACCGCCGTAGGGTGGACACACAGATAGCGGTGAGACGCAGAGGCAATGCCGAGAATCAGAGACCCAGCGGTGGGACACGGATGAGCGCCGATCAACGTGATTGCCAATGAGTCGCACCAGGCCACCCCCATGTCTCGATGGACTCTGTTTCCCGCAACGATGTGAAGCATTTGTCGGCAACGCAACGCCACTGCCGTATCCTTTCGTGGCGCTTTCAGAGGCACGATGGCACAGGGATAGCGTCGATCTACGGGGGGCATTTCGCGGACGAAAATTTCGTGCTCAGGCACACGGGGCCCGGAGTGCTGACCTGCTGCAACGCTGGCCCAGATACTAACTCCTCCGCCTTCATGATCACGACAGTCGAGGTGCGCCAGTGCCTGTTAAACGGCGGTGGTGGGAAACAGGGTGTCGCAAATGTTTGTGGCAGGTTCTATCTTGACTTTTTGCGGTGTTGTTCACCATTTCTGCCGCGCGCGCGATTCCTGAAACGAGATGCACATTGTGCAGTACGGCATGACGGGAGTATAGCTGATCGCTTGGAGATCGAAATTCGACGTTGTTTTCGAGTTGTGCGCTTGAATATAGAGTCTCTTATCGTCATCGTCATCGCGAGCGGCCTCAATCGAAAAAGGGAGGTATACATGATCGTTGCTGTCAAGGTAGAAGGATCCGTTGTTGATACAGTCCGTTGTTGTTGTGGTCATAGGTTTCGTTGTTTCTGCGGTTGTTTCGGCTTTGCTGTCGTCACTGCTGTCCGTTTGGTCGTTGTTTCGGTTGTTGTCGCCGTTGTCTTCACCGTTGTCGTTGTCGTTGTCGTTGCTGTTGATTGTGGTTGTTGTCCTCGTCGCAACAGCTCGTCTGCCCTCACCGCATTGAACTCGCCCCCGACCTATACAGAGGTAGCCTAGATACAGTCGGGGACAGGGTGATAACAAATATATCATGATATGCATATCGGCTCCCATATCTCAGCTCACGGTTGTTCTACGTGTGGATATACAACTACGAAAATATGTTCGGCGCTTCATCTTTCAGCACGGTCCGTCGCTGAACAGCGGCAGGGATTAGCTGTACACCGTCCTCGCAGATGCCCGGATCTTACTGAGTTCTGTAGAGGTCATATTTCCTTACCTATGACGTGACATGCTGGAAGTAGAGGCTGGTCCCCATTGTGCTGTCGTACCACAATTTCATCTCTGGATCCTGGCTCTGCACGTATCCCTACTCTAACTCTGGGTATGCTCTAACGCAGGCTCCATGGTTGAACGGTCGAAGCGTTGCTTTTGGTTGCCTCGCGAATGCGGAATCTTTCGACGCCCTGGAAAAGTTGGAAGCCTCCGGAGCTGAAGGTGGACGCCCTTCTGTCTACATTCAGGCAAGCAACGCAATGTTGCGAGAGGTTGGTGCCGATGGTTTGGCCTTGTTGCCGTCCTTGCCACCATGTTTGGCACCTCCTCACCGTCCATCCTTCCCGACTTTTT